TGGGGGGTCAGTGTACTGAGAGCAGGGTTGGGAACCAAAGGGTCGCTGGTTCCATTCCCACTCAGGGTACAATCTTGGGTTGTGGGCCAGGTCCTCAGTAGGAGGCGCGTACCAGGCAACCACACATGAGTGTCTTTCTCTCCCTCCTTCTCCCTCCCTTTCCCTCTCTCTAAACAGAAATAAATCTTAAAAAAACAAACAAACGTAATTCCTAGACACACTGTGACACAACACACAACGGTGAGAAGCCGAAAGCTCCCTCTGTCCGATCAGGAGGAAGACAGACGCCCACACTCACCACCTCCCCGCACCCGAGTACTGGGAGTCAGAGCAACAGCGGTCACGCGAGACAGAGACAAACAGCAAGCACATCCGAGGGAGGAGGAGCCTTCCCACTGCTCGCAGACGGCAGGACGGGCTACGTAGGACCGTTTGAGGACCCACGAAATCCCATGAGAACGTGCAAATGAAGGCAGTGACGTCGCAGGACACAACGTGGACACCGGGTGCACTTCCGTGCAGCAGTGACGGGTAACCACAGGGAGGTGTCGTCAGCCCCTCCTGCGGTTGCATCCGAAAGCAGAAACCACCCGGGAACAAGGTCAGCCAGAGAGCGGACAGCCTGCGCCCTGACGGCTGGAGGAACCGAGAAAGGAGACGAAGGGGGGACACGCGATGGGGGACACACACTGAGCTCAGGGTCAGCAGGAGCAACAGGGTCACCCCGTCCTCGCTGCCCGAAGCCAAGCCTAGACTCAGGGTGTCCTTGTTGAAACGCCGATGGCCTTCTCCTCAGAATGACAACAAGGAATCCTGAAATATATTTAGAAATTCCTTGCGTTTTATTCCTCAGTGAGGCAGTCGTGTTAGGTGGGCGTCTGCCACCTTTCTAACTAACCTGACTCCTGCTCACGTTTAAGTCCCGCCCTCCCCCTGCCCAAGTGCAGGGGACTTTGGGTGGAGGGTCGCTGCCCTCGTGGCGGGAGCACTGGGCGGGAAGGTGCTGGGACCCCATCCTCCTCCACAGGCTGCGGGGCACCCAGAGGTTCGGGGTGAACCCGTGTGTCTTACTCTCTCAGACAGCGGCTCTGATTGCCGGGAGCCTCAGGGGGACTCTTTCACCACAGACTCCATGTCATCCTAGGAGACACTTGTCCTGCCTGCCCCATCACCCTGTTCACCTGTGACACCCACACCTGGGGTGATTCCTACCAGCCGGGTTGACGTGGGGCGGGCTACAGAAACGAAGGAGCCTCCCCCAGCCTCCCTGCGCCCACTCACCCTCCCGGCACTCGGCACACGGCAGGGATGCGGGCTCCAGGTGGCGGTGGGCCAAGGAGCACCCAGGCTCGCTCAGGCTGCACTCCGAGATGCCGTCCAGGTCTCACACTCTGCACCCGTGGGAGCCTGTGAAGGGGGGCGCACAGAGGTGATGGTGTGGCCCAGGGCACAGACCGCCCCTGGTCCCTGCGGCCTCTGCCTGAGGAGGTGCCACAGCACCTGGCAGCCTGTCTGCAGCAACTCCTTGGAACCTTCTGGACTAATTCCCGGGTCCATGTGTCCCAGGGACTGGGGACCTGCCTCATCCTTGGCTCTTCCCGACGTGTGCAGCTCCGGGAAGAGGGGTGCTGAGTGTGCACCCCGAAGACCCTGGCCACCACTACCCTGGGGGCCGCTCTGTAGCTTCCGGGCCAGTGTGCCGCGCAGCCCAGGTCGTAGAGAAACCGGCGTCTGTACCGTAAGGCCAGAGTTGATTTTCAGTAAATAAAAGACGGGGTTTCTTAAGAGAAAGTCTCCGCCCATCTCCGGAAGGGGTGTCTAGGGCTGAGGCAACAAACGCTCCAGGCTCCGGTCCCTGCCCCTCCCTCTGCAGTCCCACCGACACGCCCGGGGCTGGGAGCCACCGCTCCTCCCGCCTCCCACCCACAACCCCGCCGCCTGGCCCTGGGGTTGCAGCCACCGCTACTAGACACCCCCACCCGCCTCTGGTCAGAAAGTGGCGGTGTTTCGCTCACTCACACTTCCGGGACAGGCAGGGACTCCGCCTGCGAGGCTCCACAGAGGACCGGGGAGAATGTGGACAGTCTCCAGTCTCCCCGGAAAAATGGGAACCCAGCTCAGGTCCCCTCGCCAGCGTGACCTGCACCGGGGCGCACCCCGCGGACCGGTCCCGATCACATCGTGTTAGGAACCGGACCACCAGTGACCTCGGCCTTGTGCTCCCCACGCCCTCCCCCGGTTGTCCCGCAGGGAATCTGGGGTCCCGTGGGAGTGGGAACGGGCCGCCCGCGCGCCGGGAGAATTCCCACCCTGAGCCGCTGGGACCCCAGTGCGCGGGTGCGCGGGGCGGAACAGAACGCGCTGGTCTCCCCCTGCCCCAGCCCCCGCCCGCACCCCGCTCGGAGCTCGCCAGTTGCCCGCGATCTCGTCCAGCCCCGGGCGACAACCGCCCCGCCGTCGAGGTCTGCCCTCCCCGAGCGCCCCGCACCCACCTGCGCCCCGAGGAGCAGCAGCGGCAAAGTCCGGGGAGGGGAGCGCCGACACCGGAGCGAGCCCCGCTCCTGGGCAGCGGCGGAGCCGGGCGCGGTAGTTTCACTCCCGCCGCAGCCCGCGCGGGTCCTGCAGGCCGGCCGATGGCAGCGGGAAGCCCAGAGAGTCTGGACGGGGACCGCCCTCCCCAAGGCGCCCGCCGTTAGTCTCTGAGGCAATTACAGCGTCTCTTCTGCGGGAGCTTCTCCCCGGGAGCGCATCCGCGCCCAGTGCGTCTCCTGGAGCCAAGCGAGCAGACCGAAATGCCGCAGAAAGGCCCCCTTCAGACAGACGGGCCCCGGGAGCCCAGGGAGCGTGGCGTTTCCGCCGGAAGGAACCGGAAGACCCGGCGGAGGCCCCGCCCCGTCCTCCCCAGGCGCCCGGCCCCGCCCCCAGGGCGGGGTGTCCCTCTCCTCCAGGCGGGGAACCCGCTGCACACGGGCTGGAATGTCCGGTCTTTTCCCCTCTTCATGAAGACACGGGTGATGATGGTGCCCAGACAAACCGAAAGAAGATGAAACAGCTCGCGACCAAACCACCGCTGTCTGCGCTCTGACGCCGGGAGACACAGGAAACGTGTCAGTGAAGTCACAGGCCGACAGTTTCCAGCAGCCGTGAGACCGAATACAGACAGACCGACCCCTCCTGTGCTCGGGAAGGACGTGAAAACCCTCGATCGGGACACCTGCACCCGCATTGACGGCAGCACCGCTCACGAGGGGGAGACACGGACCCCTGAGTGAGATGCACAGACGGATGGACAGAGCCGGGTCGTGTGCACAGACACACACACGCACCCACTGGAACCCGTCACCACAGGAAGGAGGACCCCTGTCATCATAGGACCGTGGACACACCGGGGGACGGGGCCTCCGTGAGACTAGTCTCACAGAGACACCCCCCAGCTGACCCCATGTCACCACGTGGGCCCCAAACACCACCCAATGTCATGAGACGTCCCCTCTGACCCTCCAGGGGTTCTGTCATCTTCAGACCATGCAGGTGGGGCTTTGGGTCGTCGTGAGTTAGTTTCTCCGTCTGCTGTGACCTGACAGCCCAACTCCTCCCGGGCCGGGGGACGTCCAGGGTGGTCAACACCACTGACTGAAAAGCTGTCCTTGTCATGGGGTGGGGGGGGGCTCAGGGTCTGTTTGTTTAAAAGTGTCCCCGAGTCCCTGAACAGGAGAGTGAACACCACCACACGTGTCTGTCTGCACCTACATCTCAGTGTCCCTCGGCCACACATAGAGGTGACACCCTGGCAGGTCCCACTGTGACCCAGGGGCTGGGGACACCAGCCTGAACCACAAAAGCCGGGAACACAAGGCCACGTGTCACTGGATTCTGTGTCTGTGACCCGTCCTGAACAGGGGGTCCGCCCCAGAAAGTAACTCAGGGTTGCTGGGGGCCGAGGGGGAGGGGCGCGCTGCTGGTCCCAGGGCTGATGGGAAGGAGCGGGACGGCACTGCCCCCGTCAGACGGCTCCCCCGGGTCACGGGGTCTCCTCTCCTCAGACAGACCCCTTAACAACAGCGACCCCCTCTCACCTGGACCGGGCGGGCCGCACACCGTGTCCGCTGTGGAGTTGCACTGCTGCAGGACCACTGTCCCCTCGGGACACCTGGGGGTGGGAGTGACACAGCTTCACTGTTCCTGCTTCCACGTCTCTTCAGCCCCAGGCTCCCGGGTCCGCACTGTCACCAACAGAAGGGGTCTCCGTGGGGCGCTTCCCCAGCCCACTTTGGGGAGCACCATGTGCTGTGATCACAGACCCCACGAGGGTCCCGGGGTCACAGGAAGCCCCAGCCTCACCCCAGAACCAACCCTGGTCCCACGAGGAGGACAGCTGACCTGTTTCCCCCCCTTGGACGTCCATGGCCGTGTCTGTGGGCCTGGGAGCTGGAGGGCAGGGGTCCGTCCTGCTTTAACACAGGCTGGGGCCGCAGCTGCTCCCTCCTCCCTGTTGCCAGCAGAGGGCGCACCGTCAGTGCAGCGCGTTCTGGCGTCCTGGACAGGTTCGCCAGCGCCCAGGGGAACGACTCACTCACTGAGGACCCTGTATGGGTGCTCCCGGCCCGCCCCACCGCCCCCCCACCCGGCACTTCACGGCCCGGAGGCACCCATCCAGGCCTCTCAGTCACCGGCCCTGTGCTTCCTCCTCCCCCGGGTTCCCACCTTCTTTTTGGGGAGCTCGGGGCTTATTCTCAGACCCCAAACTCCAGATCACAAAGGGAAAAATGGTAGAGACTCCTCCAGGTTCGACAGGTGTAGCAACCGAAAGCCCGTCCAGCCTATCCCTTTGCTCTCCTGTGACGGCTGCGGGGACCACGGAGAAGAGGGGTGCAGCGTGGCTAGAAGGGGCTGTGGAGCCGAGGTGTGGTCTCTGCAGGAGGAACTGCCGCTCCTGGTCCCTCTGCCCACCATTTCTGTCCCACCCATTTCCCTCCCCACCCCCAGAGAGCACCTTGTGAGGCTGAGACAGGCTCCCGAAGGCAGTTTCCTGCTTTGCTCTCTGCTGAGGTGGCAGCTGGGACAGAGCAAATTTAACCCTTGCCACCCTGGGCATTTTAGTCTTAGGTCACAGTTCCCAACCACCCCTCCACCCCCATCACCCAGAGTCACCTGCAGTCCTGCCAAAGAAATGTGTGGAAAGTCCCCCCAGCACCCGGGAGGGGCAGTGTTCTCACAGTGAGAAGCAGGCCCAGGGGGCAGGGGTCCCATCCGCTGTCCCGGGAGCCAGCTGAGGACGTGGAGCCACAGGGCCTGGGTGCCCCCACCGACTGCCCCTCCCTGCCCTGCTGCCCGGCCCATGTCCTGCTCTCGTTCCTCAGGGACCACCGTCCCCAGTGCTCCGTCCCCAGGGCCAGAGTGGGCGGCGGGCCTCTGCTGGGGCAGCCCGGGTTGCCAGTGAGGGAGGGTGGGGCAGCGGGCACAGACCCCACAGCCCGCTGCACAGGGAGGCTGTGGCCCCGCCCACAGCTCAGGAAAGACGGGGGAGAAGCGGGAGGGAGGAGGGCACAGGAGGGACCCTGGGGCCCGGACGTGCATGTGTTTCCCCCTGACCCCCAAGGCCCAGGGCAGGACGGGGTGGGACAGGGTCCGCTCACTGGTGGGCACTTGGGCTGCTCCCAGCACTGGGCTCCTGTAAACTGTGCTGCTGTGAACGTGGGGGGCAGGGTGCTTTTGGATTGGGGTTTCAGGGTTCCTAGGGTGGGATCTGCGCAGGGGTTGCTGGGTCAGACAGATCCCCCGTCAGCTCCCCGAGGACCCCCACCCGGTTCCGACAGGGGCGGGGCCCGTCTGCCCCCCCCCAGCAGGGCACAGGGAGGGCTCCCCCCGCCCCCCCACCGTGCCTGCCCCTGCTGTCGGTGGGCGTGCTGGTGCGGCCTGCTGGCCGGCGGGGGGCGGCCCCTCGCTGCTGCGGGACAACTCTGACCTCCGGGCACACCTGCCCGAGTGTGCGGAGGTCCCGCTGGGAACGACCCGGTTCCTTCCCGTGTTGGAGGGGGACTGGAGGAGGGGAGCCCGGGACTTCGTGATGCAAAATTCAAAGTCTCACCTTTTTCCTTCAGCATGGTCGCAGCGAAGTTTGGTGAAAGCAAAGAACAAGTGATGGGGGAGTTCCGCGAGTGCCCCAGAGGGCACCTGTCAGCCCCGGGTGCTCTGGACCCCAGACCGCCTTCCCAGACGGAAGGGAACCGCAGCCTTGAAGAACAGCTTTACCGTCTGAGCGAGCTGTGGCAGGGGAATCGTCAGCTACCTTGAAACACTGAAGTATGACGCCGCCTGGGGGCCCCGCATCCGAGGGACGCTGGTGCAGGTGTGGGGGACGACGGCCGTGGTGGTCGGACACGGACACACCGGGATGGTTGCGGGTCTCCCCACTGGAGGGGGGCCCAGTGGGACGGGGAGGCCGCCCCCCCGCCCCCCCGGCAGAGGACGGTGTGGTAGCCAGTCCGTGGGGACAACGGCTCCATCGTACGTCCTGAGTTACCAAGGAGGACGGACGTGTATTTAGGACGAGAACAGACTGCAGAAGCTGCTTCGTCTGACAGGAGAGCATCGTCACGGCGCAGGAACCCGGACAGAGGACAGACGGCCCGAGATGGGGGATGCCAATGCCAAGGGCTTTGTGGGGGGCACGCGGTGCTGGGACGGAGGGGTCTGTGTGTCCCCAGGATCGGTCCTACTCTGGGGAGCGACCGCTGGGGACTGAACGTGACCTGAGCTGACTCTTGTTCGGAGGGCGCTGCCATGGGGACGCCAGGCAGACCCATGACCTCTGACCCTCAGGCCACCCGCAGGGCCCCTAATTGCAGGTGGGGGTTGGAAGGCCACCTGAACCCAGGGGACGTCACAGAAGCTCAGCTGGGAGGACGTGGGCCGGGCATCATGGCCCCTGACTGGGCCGACAAATAGGGATGGGACTCAACCTCATGACACCCCGGGACTCAGGACCTGGGGACCCCCGAAACCAGACTTTATGAACTGAAACCAGGCCCCTCTGTGACAGGGACAGGAAACCCTCACACCTCTGCTACGAGCCAGCGTGGGCGTCAGGCTCAGAGTTGGTCCAGTGTTTCCCGCCCAGGGAGTGAAAATACAGTCAGCGGCCTCGGCGGAGCTGACCTGTGACACGAGAAATCAGGGTGTCGACGGCCCCCCACCCCGTGCAAAGGGCTTTCGCCCGCGCTCCGTTCCGGGCACGACCATCGGGCTTTGTGTTTCCCTTTGTGCTCTGTTCCTTCTGCTGCCCGCACAGTCTGGGGGTCAGCTGTGTGGGCCTGGAGACGACACTTCAGGAAACAAACTAATGACACCAAATCTCACACAGTCCACCGGTGCCCGGGGACCCCGAGGGCAGAGCCTGCTTGAGTGGATCCCTCAGAGAGCGGCCCCTCGTGTTCTGGGGGAGAGGGAGGGGGGAGGAGAGTGAGCCCGGATTAAATTCCTTGTCGCAGGAACAGCACAGACCTGGGCTCTCTGGACCGCATGGACCCCTGTTGCAGAGTCAGATCGTGTCCCTTGTTCCCGGGCATCGCTGGGGCTTTGTCGCAGGCAGCGCCTCCTTGCAGCGCCCCGGGGCCAGCGGACATGCAGGCTCATTGGAACTACACGGCAGCGAGCACACTGTCGCTCACTCTCCATCTTCTGTGGTCCTGCACCCTCTCCCCCTTACCTCCGTGTCCACGGGGGGTTATTTAAAAGCCCCCTTTCTTATCAATCAATGAGTAAATCCATCTCCAAATAATATAAAAATAAAGTAAAATATAACAAAATAAAACCCCTTTTCTTGCCATTTTAGGGCAGACAACTAGCAGGCACCAGATACTTCTTTTTAAAGATTTTATTAATTTATTTTTAGACAGAAGGGAAGGGAGGGAGAGAAACATCAATGTGTGGTTGCCTCTTGTGTGTCCCACACTGGGGACCTGGCCCTTAGCCTAGCCATGTGCCCTGACTGGGAATCGAACCAGTGACCCTTGGGTTCCCAAGCCAGCACTCACTCCACTGAGCCACACCAGCCAGGGCCTAGCGACATTTTACGTGCACAATACCACGTTGTTAACTATAGGTACTACCTCCTAGGTTGCCCCAAGTCTCTTCATGCTCAACTCTACACACTCTGGACAGGGGGACCGACGTCACTGAGGAACCGAGGTGGCGGCCGTGTCAGTAAAATCGGAAGGGTCACCGCCCAGCTGGTTCTGCAGGAACACAGGGGCACCGCCCTCTGCCCGGGCACCTGCGGGCTGTGTCCTGGGAAAGGACAGTGGCGGGAGACGCCCCAAGGTGAAGGGTTCGGACGGGGAGCCTGTCAGTCATCCAGACTTTCCCGGGTCCCGCCCCAGGCCTCTTGGAGCAAAACAGGGCACCTCTCACCAAGGCTCGGAAAAGCTCAAGTTCTGAAGCCACGAAAGGGAACGGAACACCACAGCAACGTGGTTCACGGTGAAAATTAACCAAGAACTTGCTTCACTGGAGAGACCACAGGAACCCAGCTGCCCTTTTCCGCCCGGACAGCCTGTCCCGGGTCGACCATCACTGAGGCCTTTCTGCCCCCTGCCGCTGGGGCCCAGCCCAGCCTGCCTGCTCCCCAATCCCGCTGTGAACCCCGGCTGTGGGTGGGGATAGTGCTGGCATTTAGGCACCCCTGTCTGACGTGTGCTGGGTACTCTGACAGTGGGTGCTAGTGTGGTTCAGCAGCCTGTCACCTGGGTGCCTCACACATCTCCAAACCCCGACCTAGAGGCCCAGCACGCCCTCGGGAGCAGGGGGACCACAGGGGCCGAGGGCCTTCCACACCCTCAACTGGGGGTGCTGGGGCTGGGGCTGTCTCAGAGGAGCTGGCCTCTCACTTCCCCCAGCCAGGGGACACACCCACGTGCAGCGTGTGTCCTGAGGGAAGGTGGCCCCAGACTGTCAGGAATCCGCGGGTCCCGGGGAACCAGCCTGCGGACACCCCCGTCTACCCCAGTGACGCCAGGGACTCGGTGGGCAGGGTCGCCAGGGCTGCTCACCCAACCCTCCCGGCCAGTAAAGGGGTCCTGACGCCCAAATGCGCGGTTTGCCCGCCGCGAAGAACGCCCGTCATAACATCCCGGTCCTTTCCTGTGAGCCGCGTCCCCCCCCCCTGCTCCCCTTCCACAGCCCCATTTTCCCTAAGTGAACAACCTCAGGGCACCCTCCGCCCACCCCCCGGATGCAGGGCCCAAGTACCCCTTCGACGCTCGGCCTGTCCCCGAGGTCCAGCTGGGGGCAGCAGGGGCGAGGCCCGGAGGGGGCCGCATGGGACCATCACGGGTAGAGGCGCAAGAGGACACGGGCACAGCCCAAGGGGCGACTGAGGCTGGGCAGGCGATGGTCTCGCGGGGCAGGGCCTCAATCCCAAAAGGGTGTCCCGAGATGAGGCCCAGTCTGCTGGGGACAGGCGGTCTCCCCTCCGCCTCAGAGGCAGGCGTCTACCCAGAGTATCCGGACACACCGGGCCCAGAGGGCGGCCCACCAAGACCCCCGGAGGACTCAGGCCCAACAGGACCAGGGTGACCCCTGTCTGACCCAGGGGGCCAGCCCCTCCGGCTGGGGGTCACCCCTCGAACGCCTTGTTGTCAGCACTCACCCTGCTCCTGGGAGCGACCCACCGTCCCTAGTAATCCTGGACCCCCAAACCACAGGGACTCATTCCCAGAATCTGGTGCGCTTGGTGGGACTGACAGTCCTGCCCCCACCCCGCCCAGCCCCTTGGTTCGCCTAGGGAACAGGTCCGGTCGCTAGGCAACCGCCCCAGGCTTCAACACCACCGTCCCGCGGCATGCTGGGAGTTGTGGTGTACAGGTGGACGTGGCCGGCGCACTGGAGCATTGTCCCTGGGATCACGCAGGGTGCTGGGGAGGACAGTCCCTCGATGAGGCCCCGCACAGGGCGAGGGGCAGAGGTTGAAGTCCCTCTGAGGAGACGCAGGCCTCAGGGACAGGTCATCTCGTGCATGGGTGTTGAAGTCAGCATGACCCCCGTGGTGTGGGGACAACCCCCAGCCACAGGGTCAGAGATCCGCCCCTGGGGCTGCAATGGGCTGGCCCCGACAGAAGACCAGTTCCAAGCAGGCTGAGAGGAAGGGACTGGGGGTGGACGGGGGGTGTGCGTTCCAGGCCGAGTGGAGTGTCCTGCGAGTGACCCCAGGAGAAGGCAAGATGCTGACAAACTCAGCGTGACCACGGGACCCACGCAGCAACGCCAGCCAGAGTTTGGGACTTGAGGTGCGGGCTGGGGTGGCAGTTCTCCTAAAGATATCAGGAATGGCAGAGACCCTCCCCAGGGTGGGGTAAGGGTGGGTGGCGGGGAGGGTGGAGGCCAGATCTGTGCTCCCACCCCCAGTCCAGCTGCAGTGGAGGAGCCTGGACTCGGGGAGGCCGGAGGGGAGCCAGAGTGGACAGAAGCTGAGTCAGTGACGGGCAGCAGCGTGGAGGGAGGCGGGGCCTAGGGGGCTGGGCACACAGGTCTGGGAGGGGCAGGGGGCCCTCACACCCTGGGGTGGGGGGACTCGGGAGGAGATGCCTGTGGGGATGACGCCCAAGGGCCTGGACGGGACAGGCTGGCTGGAGTGGCGTGGACTTCGCCGAGGGACTGCGTGGGAGCTGAAGGTTGTCGGCGCCCCACGGGAGTGTGGGGCCCCGGGTGAGCACCTCCAAGGACGGGTGCTGCTCGGGGTGAGTGAGGAGGGGGCAGGGCAGGTGCGTTCTCAGGGGAGCGCTGGACGGACGGTGCTGTCACTCCCAGGGACAGAGGCCCCGGGGACACCACAACCCGCACAAGAGGCCACTCCAGCCTCTGGGCCCCGATTCGGGGCCCTGCACCCACAAACCACACCCTCGGCTCCCCTGACTCTCTGTGCACCACGTCCCCTTCCCAGGACAACACACCCGAAGTTGTCCACCCAACAGGAATGAGAGGCAACACCATTTAGAATATAAATTTTACTGGGTAAAAAAATTTCTACAAACATGTGAACACACTATGGAAGAGAAATTTTAACACATAAATAAAACTGGAAAAGCACATATGCTAAAGTGTCTAAAGAACAGTACAAAGGCCTCCATAGCTGGCATGTGACTGTCCCCATGTCCGCCCCAGCTAACCTAGTGACAGCTGAGTGACCACTGGTTTGTCTGTCATAGACTGACTTAAGTGTCACCCAGCTATGGCGCTCCCAAGTGGAAGCCAGGGGACATCGCAGTGCCTGGGAAACCAAGGAGGGAGCTGCTGGGGTCACACACGTGTCCAGCCCGCCCTCCTGGCCTGTGTTTCTGGAGGAGACCACGGCTCGTGGGCCCACCGAGCACAGCCAGTGGGTCCCTGCTGAGCAGCTCAGGGCGCCCGGAGTCCCCTCAGGGGCAGCCTATAGGGCACATGGGATGCAGGCAGAGGGTACCCCACCTTGCATGGTCCTCCCCGTCGGAAGCTTCCCGAAGAAGCTCCTTGGACACGGAAGGGGCTCCGTCCCACCTGGGACCTGTGAAGGCGCCCACGGGAAGGGACCTGGGGAAGGTCAGCACCCAGGATGCTGCTAAGTCCCAGTCGTTGCCGGAAGAGCTGACTCTAGTTCGGGGCTCTGCGTCCTCACGACCTAAGACACCTTCCACACCAGCTCGTTGGTAACATTCTCCAGACTCTCCCGCAGCCGCATCGCACAGAGGGCCGCCATTTCTCAGAGCCGCTTTTTTCTCAGCTTGAGCTCTCTCCTTCTTCCTGCACCGGGCCCGGATCCTCTTCCGCCGTCGCCACAGCAAGTGCCACACACTGAACAGGAGCCCCGCAAGGAGCAGCAGCAACAGGGTCACGATGAAGGCCACCTTCCAAGGCTGTGTGTCCCTGAAGAAGGCACCTGCGAAGGGGTAGCGTCAGCCCCTGAAGGGATCTGTCTGTCCCCAGAGCACCCAGACTCTCACTGCCACACAGTCAGGACGGTTTTCCTGAAACGTCTCCCCCCCATGGGATGAGAGGGAGCACGAGGACGCACACACAGTGTCACTGACGTCCCCTCTGCACCCAGCTCCCCACTGACTACCAGCCCCCCCTCAGTCAGCGGAGTCTGGTGATGAAGAACAGACTCTGGGGCTGGGGGCCTGGGTTCCAGTCCCGGGTCTCCTGCCCGACCAGCGCTGTGACCTTGAACTAATGACGTAACCGTCTGTTGCTGCGTCCTGATCAGTGAGAGCATTCAGTTAGTGCTTATGCAGAGCCTGACGCAGGGGTGAGTGCCACGCAGGTTTCATTCAGTTATCAAAAATAAGTATTTTATTTCATCTTGTTTACAGTGAAATCAGGCCCCTACGCAGCTGCTGTGTATGCCGTAGGTCTCGCCCTGTGTCTCGGCGACCAGCCCGCTCCAGCACAGCCCGCAGGCCCGAGTCTCTTCCCCAGGGCACCCCCAAGGCACACAGGGTCCCCTCTGGTGGGCACCCCCAGGCTCTGCCCTTTGTCCCGGGGATCACTGGTTTAAAAATACCGGGTCACAGGGGTCACATCCCACCGCTGCAGGCTGGCCCGTGGGGTGGTCCCCAGAAGTGGGTTTTGGCATCAGTCAGTGAGCAGTTCGGGTGCAGACGGCCCTGCGCCCCCACAGCACGGGGGCCGACCCCCAGCAACACCATCCAACACCGGGAGCACAGACGGCTACGGGGCTGTCTCCCCACAGCCCGCCACCAGAGGGCGCCCACCCCCTCGTTTGTCCTGCTGCTGCCAAATTCACAGGGGGAAATAGTTCCCTGTTCCATCAGATTTGGCATCTTCCTGGGAGTTTTACCTTCCCAGAAACTGATGATTCCCGTTTTGCTCTTTTATCCACCATGTTCCTTTATGTTGTAAGGAGATTACCAATTTCACTGAGATTTGGGGTGTACCTATTTCCCCTCCTGGTGTGTTTGCTGAAGTTTGCCATCTGCCCCCACGTCCCACTGCCTGGCTCCGTGTGTGGCAGGAAGAGCTCAGAAGGTGTCTGTGCATAAACCGCTTCCCGGCAAGAGGCCCCACGTCAGCAGCCTTCCCCCAGGGGGCACCTCAGAGGCCTGGGCAGGGGCGCAGGGCACTCACCTGCTATGGAAAGCCTGGCTGACCTCTCCTGGCCCAGCAGCGGGGTTTCTGATGACACAGGAGACCCCCCTCCCCAGAGCCGCCTTCCAGGATCACAGAGGCTGAGGCTGCATAAAGGCCCTGGGGGTCTGCAGCTGCAGATGCTGTCTGCGAGGGCAAGCTCTGGCCCCTGGCGTCTCTCCACTGGATCTGGGGGCTGCGGGTACCAGCCGGCAGACGTGCACTCCAGACGGATCCCTCCAGCCTCGTAGCCCTTCATGTCAATGTGGGGATCAGAGCCCAGCGCTGGGGAGGAGAAGTGAGCTGAATTGTGGGGAGCCCTCTGTACTGGTGGGGGTCTCCACAGCAGGGAGGGGCGCTCACACTGACGAGCCCAGCAGGGACTCACCAGGAGCTGCTCCCAGCGTGTGCTGTGCAGCAGAGACTGATCCCCGATGGGGCCACTGCCTGACCCTGGCTGGACCCTCGTGCTGGATCCAGGGGGCTCTGGGCCAGAGCAGAGGCTGCTTCCCCCAAGGCCCCTTAGAGACTGCCGCAGCCTCCCCTCCCCCCTGCCCCAGACAGGCTGGTCCCTGGCAGAGCCCCTCACCCCTCCCTGGGCAAGCATGCAGGTGGTGCCCCTTAGCCTAAGTGGGTCGCACACCCCTGCTCGGTCAATGCTGCCTGTCCTGTGGGGGCCGTACCCTCCTGTGAGCAGGAGGAGACACATGGTGTCCTGCGGCCGCCCGAGCAGTGACTCATATGCATGGACCCTCCGGAGGCTGCTGCTGCCCTCACTGCCAGGCTGCTCGGCTCTCCCTCCAGGGTCTCCCCCTGGAAGTGTCCACAGCGAGGCTGTGCAGAGGGGAGGACTTTCCCATGGAGACAGCGGACCCGGGGCCAGGAAGAGGGGAGCTACTGCCACCTGTCCCCACACCCCTGACCACAAAGAGGGGGAGGAAGCCCTCTGAGGACCTGAACACACAGAGTCCTGCAGGGAGGGCTCCGTCGGGGGAGGTGGGGTCTCCAGGAAGGGACAGCAGGCTGAGGAGGGGCCGTGCGGGGACAAGGCCAGGGGGCCGCACCGTCCCTGCTCCACCAGCCCCCACGCACTGGAAGCCACAGGGCAGGGCTGTGTCCACAGAACTTGAACTGCAGCCCTGACGCCCAGACACGGGCACGTTCAAGGGGCAGCACCTGAGACAAGGTACCTCCTCACTGGGGTGGGTCAGGGCCACGTCAAGGCCACTCAAGGGTGGGGTGACAGCACAGAGGAAACAGGAACCGTGTGCAGGGACCCACCTCCCTGTGCCGGCTGTGACTGACCAGTGACACCCCGCACCATCCTGACTGCGTCCCACCCAGAGCCCAGCGCTGCTTCCACATCCCCCCGAACCGCACCACGTCCTCCCTGACGCCCCCTCTCTGAGACACCCCGGTGTCCCCTGTCCCCCAGGGGAGCGTCCCTCCCTCACTGCACCGAGGACGGGCACACCTGTTCACCTGCAGCTGTGTTCCCGGGGGTTTGGCAGAGGACGTGAGCCCCACAGCAGCTGTCCCTGCAGCTCAGCCTCCTGGACCCACCACAGAGGGCCCCTGGGGCCCCACGGCCCTGGTCTGGAACATGCTGAACCCAACACCCACGTGCCACCCACTGCGGGGAGGTGTCCTCCTCCTTCCCATCCCCCACCTCCACTCCCCTCTGAGACTGGTGGGCGGCGTGGAGGACTCTGTCCTGGGTGCAGGAGGAAGTCACCCCGGAGGACCCCTGGTGTGTCACGGGCCTCAGAGGAACAGAGATGAAGGTGGGGGGGCGGATGCTGGTGAGCAGCCCACGTGCTCTGGGGTGGGTCTGCAGCCTCTGCCCCCCGCCCCAGGGAAAGGAGCCTGGAACAAGCCTGAGGCTCACCTGCCACCTGCAGCTCCACCTGGGCTTTTGCAGAGAAGTCTACATCTCGGAAATAACACAGGTAGGTTCCGTTGTCAGAGACGCTGACATTGTGAATCCGCAGAGCGGCCTTTCCCGCAGTGACGTCCTCTCTTATAAATCGAAGTTCTTCCCTCGAAACTCCTCTGCCGGCGTGTCCTCCTGCCCGTGTGCGTACCTGTGCACTACCTGCCTGGGCCTGGGTCGCCACCCACATCAGCTGCAGGGTCTCAGCGCTCATCTTCGGGGACAGGTGACAGGGCAGGTCTGCGTCTTCACCCACCATGGCCAGGATGGGCTCGGGGGGTCCGACCACAGCAAACTCAGCTGGTCATCAGAAAGGGGGGGCTCCGTCAGAGTGAGCAGGGCTGAGGGCCAGGGGGTGACCCAGGCAGGGAGGGTGAGGTGACAGACACCTAGATGGGAACTCAGTCCTCACACAGGTGCGGTGTGGAGAGGACTTGCAGGGGTGGGCGGAGTCCCGGGTTCTGGCTGGGCCCGAAGGGAAAGGATGCACACACGCAGACGCACAGCCGGTCCTACCTGAGCAGGGGCTGAGCAGCAGGACCATGGAGAGGCACACAGGGAGGGCGGGCAGTCGGGGCACCAGGCACCTCCCCATCCTGACCTGCTGTGCGCAGAGAGGCCAGCAGGGGCTGGGCAGCAGGGACCACCTGGAAGGAGAAGGAGGATTCCACGTGGAGAGGCTGCCTGCCCAGGGCCGACCTGGAAACCACCGCCATCAGTGGGGACCCGAGAGCCTCCTCTGCAAATGTCCCCTGGGGGTCTCTTCCCCTTGGATCCCACCGTGGAAATCAGCCATGACACATGGAGCAGAAATGCACGTACCTTATTCCTCGCCAGCAGGGAGCACCGGGCTCTCCTGTGGGAGCCTGCTCAGAAGCTCCCCACTTGCCCTCACTTCCCTGCCCCAGCCAGGTGCCTCCCCCAGACCACCCTCTTGAGGAAGGCAGGCCCCTGGGCTCTGAGTCTTGGGTCCCGCTGCTGCTCCCTGCAGGCCCGTCCATGCACAGCAGCCGGCAGTCCTGTCCCCTCACCTCCCTCCTGCTCAGCCCTTCCCATGGGGTCCCCTGTGTCACCCAGGGCAGAAGCCCATGGCCTTTGCACCCTGTGCTTTAAATTGTCTGACTGTTTTAGGGGATAGCTTGGTTGGGGGGCAGTGATTCAGGGAAAATGGAGAGAACTGTACTTGAACAAAATTAAAATTAATGAATTAATAATTAATAATAAAAATATCTCAAAGATTTAAAGATTAAAAATTTCTAGAGTGGGTACACATTTCCACAATATTTTGAAGGATATTTACTGGTTTTTATTCCTATCACACACCAACTTAAAACCTAAAGGAATGAAATTTAAATAACTTAGAATGGGAATTACAACCTGTGTCTCAGGTGAATGTGAACTCCTGTGGATGCATTTGGCCACATGTACACAGGGGCGACTCAAAAACAGAATCTATTTATAAAAACTGTTTTTATTCTCACACCTTTACCCTCCGGTCACCCTCACATGCTCCCCCCTGGATGGGGACACCCGTGGGGACGTCCCTCCACCGCCCTGAACAGTCTCTGCACTCGGCGGCTCTGACGCCTCTTAGAGCTTCTGGCGTTTTGTTTCACGTCTTACGAGTGACATTTTACAGGTTGTTTCTTTCCCTTTGTGGACTCTTTTCATGTGAGAAAGAAAAACAGTCGCGCTGGGTGAGATCGAGGGTATAGGGAGCATGGGGCACGTGGGATTTGGTCAAAAACTGCTGAACACAGCCCTGGCTGGAGTAGCTCAGTGGGTTGAGCACGGGCTGCGAACCAGTGTCGCAGGTTCTATTCCCAGTGAGGGCACATGCCTGGGTTGCAGGCCATGACCCCCAGCAACCGTACATTGATGTTTCTCTCTCTCTATCTCCCTCCCATCCCTCTCTAAAAATAAATAAAATCTTAAAATATATAAACTATTAAAAGAAAAACTGCTGAACACTCAGCGCAGGTGGGCAGGTGGGCTGGTAAGTCACCCGTCGGGAAATGGGCCAGTGCTCTGGGAGAGTCTTCTGAAAAATTCAGTAAAGCCCAACGCAGCCTCTCACAACACCACCAGCTAGTCGCTGTTGCAGATGGGCTCCTAGAATTTTCTCTCCTAGTGGGGAAGCCTGGACTGCAAGGGGCACAACGTCCAGAAGGTAACTGCTGGTTTGATTATTTTTTTCCCCGTTTCTGGTTGGGTCACTCCTTGTATACTAAATGCCCTGAAAAAGTTTTATCCGTAGCACCAAAGATTACACGGGCAGGAATTGCTTTTAAAGAGACACTGGCAATAACACAAAAATTGACATTTAATGCTGTTCATTATAGTAAAATCTGCAAGAGCACTGTGTATAAATTGCATCCAATTTTGTTAAAATTATGAATAAAAACGTGTTATAAAAAACATAATTCCTTCCCTTGCTTGTGGGGTTTAGTGTACTGACAGCAGGGTTGGGAACCAAAGGGTCACTGGTTTCGATTCCCAACTCAGGGCACAATCTGGGGGTTGTGGGCCAGGTCCTCAGTAGGAGGCTCATACCAGGCAACCACACACGGATGTCTTTCTCTCCCTTCCTTCTCCCTCCCTTTCCCTCTCTAAACAGAAATAAAATAAATCTTAAAAAAACAAACAAACGTAATTCCTAGACACACCGTGACACAACACCCAACGGTGAGAAGCCGAAAGCTCCCTCTCTCCGATCAGGAGTGAGACAGACGCCCACCCTCACCACCCCCCGCCCCAGAGCACTGGGAGTCCGAGCAACAGCGGTCACTCGAGACAGAGACAAACAGCAAGCACATCCGCGGGAGGAGGAGCCTTCGCACCGCTCGCAGGCGGCAGGACGCGGTACGTAGGACCGTTTGAGGACCCGCAAACTCCCGTGAGAACGTGGAAATGAAGGCAGTGAGGTCACAGGACACAACGTGGACACCACGTGCACTTCCGTGCAGCAGTGACGGGTAACCAGAAGGAGGTGTCGTCAGCCCCTCCTGCGGTTGCGTCCGAAAGCAGAAACCACCCGGGAACAAGGTCAGCCAGAGAGCGGACAGCCTGCGCCCTGACGGCTGGAGGAACCGAGAAAGGAGACGAAGGGGGGACACGCGATGGGGGACACACACTGAGCTCAGGGTC